GCCTGATTTCCTTTTACCACTAACTCTTCCAAACATAATTGCTTTCTCCAGCTAATTTCCCTGCATGACATGGCCAAATTAAGACACAGTTTTGTGATTTTGTGACTTTGAAGTTCTGGAATTTGTGCAATGTGGGCTTTGTGTTCTTAAGGAGTGTTTGGCAATTTCTATTGCTGATGTCCTGTGTTAGATTTTGGGTTCTAAATCTATTGCTCTGCTATTGTTAGCTGTAAGTTTTGCTGCAAGGGATTTTGAAGTATTTTTGTCCTGCATGGATTTTGCCTGTAGCATTCCTTTACTTATGAATGTTTGATAAATATATGGAAGAGGGAAAATATGGGGGGGGGGTTCTAATTCTTCCTTCAGAAGGAAGGAGATGGGAATGAGAAAGAGGGAGGCAGGGAAGGAGGGAGGGAGGGAAACAGAAAGGAAGAGAGGAGGAAGAGAGATTGGAATGAAAGGGAGGGAAGGTCTGAAGGAAGTCCCGCCTTAGCACTTGCCCACCAGCAGCCCTGCCATTGACTTTGCTTGTCAAAAGGTTGCAAAAGGGGATCACATGACCCTGGGACACTGTGACCATCATAAATATGAATCAGTTGCCAAGCATCCAAATATAAATCACATGACCCTGGGATGCTGCAATGGTCATAAGTTACTTCAGTGCCATTGTAACTTTGAACAATCACTAAGCGAATTGTTGTAAGTCAAGGACTACCTGTACTTTATTACTTTTTTCCTTTTGGGGGAGGGGGGTCATCAAGTTTTTGACACCTTGCTAGGTGGTACTCAAATATTGCCATATCTTAAAAGTGGTACAATTGGTGATAAGGTTGAACAGCCCTGGTGTAGAACTGGTCCATGGACTGGTACCGGGCCATAGCATGCCAGCAGCCAGTCCCCACAAACAAGCAAAGTCCCATCCGCAAGATGCAGGCAGCACACAAAACCATGCACCCTCTGGTCCGCAGAAAAAAATTCTCTCCATGGAACCAATCCCTGGTGTCCAAAAGGTTGGGAACCTCTGGTCTAGAAGACCTCCAAGGTCCCTTCCAGCTCTATTCTGATCGATCTTTCACAACCATAGGTAGGTACAGGGAACACAATAGAGTGAACTAATCTACATTTGGTTGCTGCTTTTCCATATTCAGCTCATATTGATCATTACTATGCAACCTAGTGCAATCTGACATTTCATTTCTGTGTGCATTTACCACTTTGAGCTATCTGCAATCCTAGGAAAGTGAATTTTTCCATGCATTCTATCTCTTCACTGTCAATTTCTATTTTGATGTTTCAATTTCTTGCAGTGATCAAGAGCTTGGTCTTTTTTATGTTCAGAAAGAGACCAAAATTCTCACTTTCCTTTTTGATTTTCTCGATCAGATGTTCCAGGCCTTCTTTGATTTCTGAGTGAAGAATTATATTGTGTAGCATATTGAAGATAGTTGATGTTTCTTCCACCAATCTTTACCTCAATTTTTTATTCTTCAAGAGCTGGCTTCCTCATGATCATTACAGCATACAGGTTGAATAAGAAAGGGGAGAGAATGCAACCAAAATCAAACTCCTTTCTCTATCTTAAACCAATTGGTCCCTCCATATGGTGTTTGCAAATTGACTTTCTGATTTATAGACAGTGATTTCACCAACTTGACCAGATGTGTTGGTACCCCTAAGTATTGTAGGGCTCTCCAAAGCTTCTCATGATCAACACAATTGAAGGCTTTCTTATAGTTGATGAAGCACATGTAAATTATTTTTTTATATTCATGAGATTTTTCCATGATCCAGCATAGATTCACGGGTGCCACGACCCCTTCAGAAGCTGGCTTGGACATCTAGTAATTTCCTTTCAATGTTTGGTGCTAGACATTGTTGTATAATTTTAAGATGAATCTTACTGATGTGAGGAATGATAGATAGATAGATAGATAGATAATTTAATTTAATTTGTATACCGCCCTTCTCCCATAGGACTCAGGGCGGTTCACAGCATATTAAAAACAAATAATATACACAAAATACAAAAAATGCAAAATACAAAAATACAGAAATACAAAAAAATAAACCCCGATAAAAGCCGAATTAAAACCAAATATTACCAGCTGTGTTTCCAATTAAAATACTTTTAAAATTATCCCTACCTAAAATCCTCCCTAGGTCAGGCCCGCTTGCTGGAAAAACCATGTCTTGAGGGCGCGGCGGAAAGTAAGGAGATC